TTAAATCATTTATTTAATTAATAATTGTTGCGGAATGCACTGATTAAATTAATTTTGATCGGGAATAGAGGGAAGAAGGGGTTGATTGTTAAACAGCTGAGAATATGGTTAAAAAAAGGTTTATTCGATCTTTCACAAAAAAAACTAAAGTTGTCGATCTTTCACAAAAAAAACTAAAGTTTCGAGTTCGAATTAAACACACTTGGCGAACGGTGGACAAAAATTTTAACGAGAACGGACGGACATCTTGTGCTTGATCGTAATTGCTGCGCGCGTACTCGACGGAAATCTTCTCGCGATAATTTTTACAAAGATCGCAGCGATCAAGAGCCGAACGCGGATGCGCGATGCACCGTTCGCGAAATCGAGGTCTCTGAGAGTCTCCGGAACACTGTAATATCGGAGCACGTGGTGATACATGCGGTCGTAATTGCAGCCGAGCTATGCATGTATTTCACAAATAAAACTGAAATAATGGAAAATATCGCTTGCCCAATATTCTACAAATTTTTGCCGATGACCGGCGGAAAAGAATCACTTTCGTGACTCGAAGGATTATGTGAACCACGCGTGATACGAATCTCCAATAACGAGGCAATGTGTTAATACACTGAGAGCCGGAACAAGAAGAAGGAACGGGAAACGAGGAAGGATATTAGCGACTCAGATAGGCATGATCGGGGGTGCGCGACAGATCCTAATCGATACACCGCGCACTTGAGTTGGCGAAAAAGGACCGCGAATGCGAATTGCAAAGAGGTGTGAGAAGGATCGGCTACGCGCTATGCCTCGGTCGCGTGGAAATTCGTGATTCGCTAATGCGACGATTTATGGTTTCAATATATTTGATCGCGCGACATTTAAACTTTTCGCGGAGACTCTCAATTATTTTCAACGGTTCCGGAACATACCGCCCGTCTCGAATGATTTTATTCGAAGTAAAGACTATAACGCTTACAATTTATGACTAGAACGCTTACAATACGAATATGGAAAGTTTTTTTTTTTTTTACAACAAATGGTGCAGTACAATAATTTTTGAACATTATTACTTAAGTCTAATCGGAATCGGTGCCGCCCGCCATGCCGGAACTTTGATCGCTTGAAGTATTGATATCGATCGGAAGAAAACATAATTTTACAATTGGACGCTTATACTGTGAACGCGCGGTGCGCACGGTAACGACGCGAACGAGTCCGTCGTTGCCGGGATGACATTCGATGATACGTCCGAGCTCCCAGTGAGACGGAGGAGCAAGTGCGTTCCGCAAGAGAACGATTCGGCCTACAGTCGCAAGTCGTTGCGCAATTTTCCATTTTGGCCGCTGCTGCAACGTTAATAAGTAGTCGTTTGACCATGATTTCCAAAATTTTTCTGTAATATGTTGCAACAATTGCCAGCGGGAAAGACGAGTTTCGTTAAGATCGAGAACGCTTGGCTGTGGCGCAGCTAAGATGGGTCCCCCGATGAGGAAGTGTCCCGGTGTTAATACATGATAATCATCGAGATTTTCGGACACAGACCCAATAGGTCTCGAGTTAAGACACGCTTCGATACGACAAAGAACAGTATTTAATTCTTCAAATGTGAGCGTATGTGAGCCGATACAGCGCTTTAAATGGTATTTGACGCTGCGTACAGCAGCTTCCCATAATCCACCGAAGTGGGGAGCGGAAGGAGGCACGAAATGCCAGTTTATTCCGTCGGTCGAAAGCGTATTTTGCAAATCCGAATTTTTTAAAGCCTGCGCGATTGCGAGTTTAAGTTCGCGATCGGCACCTTGGAATGTGGTTCCATTATCCGAATAAATCGATGCAGGGTATCCGCGACGAGAAACGAAACGATTTAATGTGGCGAGAAAAGCGTCTGAAGAGTAGTCGCTAACGAGCTCGAGATGGATCGCCTTTGTCGTCATACAAACGAACACGGCAATATAGGCTTTATGCGCTTTATGACCTCGTCCACGAGAGGTTCGTACAAGAATTGGACCGGCATAATCGACACCGGCATGTTCGAATGCTCGAGCTGAGCGATTTACTCTTACATTCGGAAGATCGCCCATGAGCTCGTTAGGAATCTGAGCCCTTTCTCGTGTACATGATACACATTTGTAAGTACAGCGCGAACCAGAGATCGTGCTCGCAGAATCCAAAATTTCTCTCGGATCCGAGCTAATGTTAATTGAGATCCAGCGTGCAACATTCGTCGGTGGGTGTCCATGATGATCATCCTGACCAAGGCATGGTCCTTAGGACAATCGGATTGCGAACGGCGCTTTGTAAGGTGGCGTTCCTTAGCCTGCCACCGACTCGAATTATTTGATCATTATCGAGATAAGGATTTAATGAAAGCAGTGTGCTAGATTTCTTGATTGGAGTTGCCGTACTGAGTGCTGATATCTCGCTATGAAACAATTCTGATTGAATGTAACGAATCCAAAAGATTTCAGCGGACTTAATTTCAATCGGATTTAGGTAGATCGGAGCTCTAGGGTTTTGTATCTTCAGATTGAGATTGATATGTCGAGAGCGGGAATTCGTTACGAATCGATAGATGTATGCAGTTATTCGAAGGAGTTTGTGCCATGACGAATAACGTTGTGATAGGTCCCACGATGCGACAACGGATGTAGTGAGCGATTGTGGTTGCGCGCGTTGCTCGCTTAGCGCGTGGGGATCGAAATCCGAGTCAGATTTTGGCCAATAATCGGAAGATTTAATAAGCCAATCGGGACCTGACCACCATTGAAGGTTTGTGGCAAGGTCGTCGGGAGAGATCCCGCGCGATGCGCAGTCGGCAGGATTTTCCTTTGTTGGGACATGACGCCATGGAATGTCCGGAAGTAGCGTGTGAATATCGGCTACTCTATTCGCTATAAATGTCTTCCATGTAGTAGAAGGTCGGCTCAGCCAGGCAAGAGTAATTGTGGAATCGGTCCAACAATAAACATTTACCTCACGAAAGTCGAGAGCTTCGCGAATGAAATGAATGAGCCGTGCGAGTAATTGAGCTGCAGATAACTCGAGTCGCGGAACACTCATTACTTTGACAGGAGCGACTTTTGATTTTGCGGCAAGAAGATTGACCGAGACCATTCCATCCACCGTGACAACGCGAATGTACACCGCTGCAGCGTATGCTTTGGTAGATGCATCCGAGAATCCATGCAACTCTAGATGCAGTACGTGATGGCCGAGTTGAATCCAACGTGGAATCATCACCTCTTCTAGATGTTTAAGATGAGTATGATACTGCTGCCAGGCTTCAAGCAGATTCGGCGGAGCGACTTCGTCCCATTCACATTTAGCGATCCAAAGTCGTTGCATCAAAATTTTGGCGCGAATAATCACTGGAGTTGCCCATCCAAGTGGATCAAAGAATTTGGCGATGTCGGATAAAATTCTTCTTTTGGTGTTGCCAGGAGGCCCTGTAATCGTAATGGTAAATTTGAAGATGTCGCGATCTGGTTGCCAAGTAAGACCGAGAATTTTCAAGCTCTCATCTTCGTTTAGATCTCGGCTTTGAGCGAGACCGTGGTCGGTATCTTCGATCTCGTCAAGGAGTTCGGACACGTTGCTTGCCCATTTTCGTAGCGTGAATCCACCTCTTTTGAGAAAAGAAACAATCTGCTCGCGAGTTTGACGAGCGAGAACCTTGTCGTCGGCGCCGAAGATAAAGTCGTCGACGTACATTTGACGATCGATAACGGATGTGGCTAATGGAAATGAAGCGCCTTCATCTATGGCGAGTTGATTCATGACCTTCAAAGCTAAGTACGGAGCTGAAGTCATGCCGTACGTTACGGTACAGAGACGATACTCCTCAACTTGATGTGTTGGAGATGGCCGCCAGAAGATGCGCTGGAAATCACGATCGCGAGGATCGACTTGAATTTGGCGATACATTTTTGCCACGTCGGCGGAATAAACGTATCGAAATGTGCGCCAACGCAAAATCACTGCAGCAAGGTCCTTTTGAAGTTTAGGGCCCGGATATAAATGATCATTCAATGACGTACCGTTTGAGGTTCGACTTGAAGCGTTGAAAACGATACGTATTCGCGTTGTTAAGCTGTTAGCGCGGAATACGGCATGGTGCGGAATATATACGATTTGATTCGAGTCGATTAATTGTTCGGTTTCTGAGACGCGTTGCATGTGTCTCAGATCATAATATTCTTTTAAAAAATTATGATATTCCGACGATTTCGATGAATCCGTTTTAATGCGGCTTTCCGTGCGAAGGTAACTCTGAAGCGCGGAATGTCGAGATTCTCCAATGTTGAGTGGAGGTCCGTGTTTAAATGGAAGTCTGACGATATAGCGACCTTCAGAATTTCGAGAGTGTGTCGAATTAAAATGGTCGTCGCATGCCTTTTCTTCACTAGTTATTTTCGATGAAGCGGGAATTTCTTCGATTTCCCAAAATCGGCGGAGAGTTTGATTGAGATCATCCGTAACAGAGCAATGATGTACTCCAATGGACGACTGCGAGAGCGGTCTGAGTTGCGCTATAGGTCCGGATATGATCCAGCCTAGCGCGGTATTTTGAGCGATCGGTTCGTCAACCGCGCCTTTTCGAACGCCGTCGAGGATGAGTGACCCGAAAAGATCCGCTCCGATAATTATTTCTATTGGATCTGATCCTGCGGGATCGGGATCAGCTAACGAAAGGCCATTCAAATGCGGCCATTGCTCTGGAATGTCGAGACGGTTTGGCAAATATCGAGTTAACGATTTTAAAATTAACGCGGTGGTTCGATAAACCGGAGTGTCCGCGTTGCTGGGAGTTATCGTTAGATGAACGGCATGTCGAACGTTTGTCTGCGTTTCGCCAATACCTGTTACCCTAACAGCGGTATTTAATTTCGGAAGTCTTAATGACTGCACTAAATTTTCGGTTATAAAGGATGACGCAGATCCTTGATCGATGAGCGCTCGGGCCCATTGGAATCGACCGTGCATTGAATGCACGCGAACGCGAGCAGTTGCAAGGAGAATGTGACGCGCTGTTACAGCTTTCGCAACGATATGCGAGGAAACGTCACTTGTCGAGATGACGGGATTTGTTGACGCGGGAGACGATGACGCTTGAACAGCTGATTTCGGAGCGTCAAAAAAATGTAAAAGCGTGTGATGCCTTTTGTGACATTCTTTACACGAGCGGGTACTCGGGCATTCTTTCGCTTGATGCTTCGAACTGAGACAATTAAGGCAACGCTTGCCGTTACGAATAATTTCGTATCGCTGAGTCGGCGTTTTCCGAGGAACGCGGTACATTGATATAACAAATGATTTGATTCGCACACGGGACACGAAAGTTTCGTGGCGCTTGTTGTATGCGAAGTGACAGCCCTTTGTTTTAATTTCGCGTTTGATTTATCGCTTTGTTTATCGAGTGTCGAAGCGATCGGTACAAGGGCGTCGAGAGCGCGAATACGAGAATCCAAGAACGCGCTAATTTCGTCAAACGTAGGATAGACGGTCGTTTTTCCTAACTTCAATTCCCACGCTTCGCGCGAGGATTTGTCGAGTCTTTGTGTGATAATATAAACAAAAATATCGCTCCAGTGTTCGACCGGACGAGACAAATTTTTTAACGCGGCAATTGCGGCAGTTAATTTGCTCTGTAGAGCTCGAAGTTCGGTCGCCGATTTCGCCGTAACATTGGGCAGTGTAAATAAGCGATGTATATATGAATTGATTAGCCGACGCTCGTTTTCAAAATTGGACGAAAGAATCGTCCATGCTACAGCAAAATTATCAGAAGTAATCGTTAAATGTTCGATCGCGGTGAGCGCTTCGCCTTTTAGACACGAGAATAAATGATGCAATTTTTGTACGTTAGACAGGCTTTTTTCTTCTATAATCATCGATTGAAAACGATCGCGGAAGCTCTCCCATTTGTCGAACGATCCATCGAAGACCGGCAATGTGACCTTCGGTAGGTTGAGTGTCGTATGAGACTGACATTCGTGCAAATGACTTACGTTAGCTGCAGGATGAACTGATGATTTGGAGAGTTCATGTACAACCTCTGCGAAATAATCCAACGCTGTCTCGTAGGCTTCTTCGCACTCGTCAAATTCGTGATCTGAGAAGTAGGGGTGCGTGGTCTTCTCCTTGGAGTCAGCGGAAGCGTGTAATTTGGCATCTAATTTTGAGCACTGTTCGAATTTTTCTTTTAATGTTTCCATGCGATTTTTCGTCACTGCATAGGTCATTTTAGCTTGACCTAACTTTTTAAAATTAGATATCGCACGAATAACTGAGCTCATTTTTGTAGACTGTTCGTGCATCAATTCTTCGAAGGATTCCATTTTACACAGGTTTTTTATTGCACCACTACGCGATAATCGAACGAGTTCGCTACTGAACGCGTAGCACCAACACAGCTGTTAACAGTCAAAAAAGGCAAAAAACCTCAGTCCCGATCCGGCTCGAAGGACCAGAAATGTTGCGGAATGCACTGATTAAATTAATTTTGATCGGGAATAGAGGGAAGAAGGGGTTGATTGTTAACAGCTGAGAATATGGTTAAAAAAAGGTTTATTCGATCTTTCACAAAAAAAACTAAAGTTGTCGATCTTTCACAAAAAAAACTAAAGTTTCGAGTTCGAATTAAACACACTTGGCGAACGGTGGACAAAAATTTTAACGAGAACGGACGGACATCTTGTGCTTGATCGTAATTGCTGCGCGCGTACTCGACGGAAATCTTCTCGCGATAATTTTTACAAAGATCGCAGCGATCAAGAGCCGAACGCGGATGCGCGATGCACCGTTCGCGAAATCGAGGTCTCTGAGAGTCTCCGGAACACTGTAATATCGGAGCACGTGGTGATACATGCGGTCGTAATTGCAGCCGAGCTATGCATGTATTTCACAAATAAAACTGAAATAATGGAAAATATCGCTTGCCCAATATTCTACAATTTTTGCCGATGACCGGCGGAAAAGAATCACTTTCGTGACTCGAAGGATTATGTGAACCACGCGTGATACGAATCTCCAATAACGAGGCAATGTGTTAATACGAAATATCACGAATTCATCAAAGATATAGAAAGCAATTCTAATGGGATCAGAAATCTTACTTCGATTCGTAATGCTGCCATTCCACAATTTTCATTATTTTTAAACAATAACGACAAAAAAACGGACATACAAGAAAAATTATTTCACATGCATAAAGACACAATTAAATTCTGCAATCAAAATCCTAATATTTTATTTACTAGAGCAGATAAAGGCAGCATTACAGTCGCACTAGAAAAAGAATTTTATATAAAAAAAGTTGAGAGTCTCCTAGAAGACGATTCTACGTATACAATAGTTAAAAACAATCCATCAACAAAAATAGAAAAAGAACTCAATATTTGTTTAAAAAAATGGTTGAAAAAAGATTTCATCAACAAAAAAGAATATTATTATTTATTTTCAAGCGACTCTCTTCTTCCTAAAGCCTATGGGCTCCCCAAGATCCACAAGGAAAATATTCCTTTTAGATTAATAATAGTTTCCTCAATAAATACTTCTCTAAATAAATATTGATGGTTTACCTATATATAAGTCTTCCACAAAGAGTTTATGGCCAATATTATGTGCAGATAATATTATAAACAATGTATATGTCATTGCCTTATATTATGGTGAAGGAAAACCAAAAAATGCAAATGAGTTTTTAAAAATGTTTGTAGGTGATGCTATTGCTTTTATAAATAATGGGATTGATTATGAGGGACAGATCATAAAAGTCGAAATTAAAGCAATAATTTGTGACGCTCCTGCTAAATCATTTATTTTAAATGTAAAAGGACACACTGGATATAATAGTTGCACTAAATGCATTATTGAAGGTGATAATATAGAAGGACATATATGTTTTCCATACACATCTAATATGATGTTACGTAATGATAAAGAATTTTTACTGGATCTTATAATCTTGATTATCAAACTGGTGACACAATTTTAAAAAATATACCAAATCTAGGCTTAGTTACAAATGTGCCACTAGATTATATGCACCTGGTATGTTTGGGTGTTATGCGTAAACTTATTATGTTATGGCTTTCAGGACCACTTAAGATAAGATTATCAAATTCAGACAAAGAACAAATTTCTAAGAAACTAATAAAGTTACGCAATTATATTCCTTCTGATTTTGCTCGAAAACCAAGATCATTAAAGTATATCAAACATTGGAAAGCCACAGAATATCGGCAATTTTTATTATATACAGGTCCTATTATATTGAAAGGAATACTACAAGAAAATGTATATTTAAATTTTCTAACATTACATGTAGCAATCACAATTCTTGCACATCCTACTTTAACATATCAAACTTCTATTATAGAATATGCAGAAAATTTATTAAAACATTTTGTAAAATCATTTCAAGTTATCTACGGTTCTAAATATATTTCACATAATATTCATAATTTATTACATCTTGCTGCAGACGTAAAACAATTTGGTGCTCTGGATAAATTTAGTGCATTTAAATTTGAGAATTATATGTCTACGTTAAAGAAATTAATTCGTAAAACTAACCAACCATTACAGCAATTAACAAGAAGATTTGCAGAAATTGAGACAATACATAATAATGAAACATTCAAAATATATTCAAATTCATACGATATGGAAAAATGTTTTACACGCTCTCATTGTGATGGTCCTATTACGAAAGATTTCATTTCTGTACAACAATATAAAATTTTTTGCAATAATCAATATTATATTAACTGTGATGATCCAAAAAATAATTGCATTTCTTTTGAAAATGGACAAATAATGTCAATTTTAAATTTCATTAAATCTAATGACAATAAAATGTATGCTATTGGCAAAGTACTTGTGTTAGTGGAAGATTTATATACACAGCCTATTTCGTCATTAACTTTAAATATTGGTATCATGTCTGAATATTCTCATCTTCAGACATGAGAGTTTGATAAAATTAGAGCAAAAATGTTGAAAATGCCTTATAAAAAAATTATATTATATTTCCGATGTTACACACAACTGAATAATACATGTTTAATATTAATTTGCATTTGTAATTAAATAATTAAACGTAATTATAATACTCTAATATAAATTGCAAATATTATTATTATTATTATTATTATTATTATTATCGTCACATTTTTATCATATTATTTACATCATAGATTATTTATAATTTCAATGCTGATCAATTTTTATTTACAGTTATTATGGCGTATAATATTGTGGAGTTCGAAGATGGTTTACAAATTGTTCCTTCTGAATGGTTAACTGAAAATAATAAGGAATGTAAATGGCCATCATATACAAGTCAAATTAAGATAAATAAAGCAATTATGAAAAGAATATTTCCTTCTGATGATTGGCAATTATATAAAATAATCCGTATTTTTGGTAGCAGCGGTTAGTAATATAAAAAATGTATTTTATTTTTTTATCAAAAATTATATAAATTAAAATTATAATATATATGTATTAAAAGTATATATTAAAATTTAAATTTTAAGTGATATTTGATTATAAAATATATAAAAACAAAAATCTAATTTTTAATATTCAAAAATTTTATACGTTTTAGATACATATGATAAAGCTATAGACAAACTTAAATTAGCTGAACAAATATCCGATATAGATGGTGATGATGGAAATAACCTCAAAAAATCGAGATATCAACGAGCAAAAAAAAATACAGGTTCATCTCCTGATAATTCTGATACAAGCGACACAAGCATCAATAAATTAAAAACTCGCAATGATTTAGAGTTAGATAATTTTCCTAATACACCAAAAGCTTTAACAATAAATAAGAGCAAAATCTGTGAAATAAAGACACCATTAATACAAGGTGATAAGAAAATGAATCGAGTAAAAAAAATTTCAAGTTCTTCTGATAATTCAGATAGAACTGACACAAGCAATGATTTAGATGAAACTTCTAATATATC